AGGCGGGGAGGCCCGGGAGTTCCGTGCGTCGTGGCTGGCGAGCTTCCCGGCCTGCCTGTCACCCTGTCGGGGCCCGGGGCGAGCCCTTCCTCGGTGTCTTCCCGAGGAACGCTCCCACCTGCCCCTGCCCCGAGTTACTCTGGCTCTCAGTTTGTTCTCCAAGCTGTGCTGGGAGCGACTGTAAGATGCAAACCTGATCGAGACGCACCGGACACTGTCACCACCCGCGCGCCCCGGCCCCCTTGTCGCTCGCAGTCCCCGCTGCTCTCCCCTTTAAACGTCAAGACGTAGTATTAAACTTGCAGTTTCTCAAGCCAAGGGGACCCCTTCTGCCATTGGCTCAGATTTCCTTTGCAATGGTCTTTTATCCCCCCCCCCTTTTTTTCATCCGTTGGGTATTCACCCAAAATGTCACTTAGGTAGGGAAACGTTCCCTGACCAAGTCACATCCTCCCGTCAATTCAAAACAAAACAAAACAAAACAAACCCACATTTGGTGGCTTCGTAGGTTGTGTGGTGGGCTCTTCGCTAATGTGTGGCTATTGGACTGGACAGTCCTCTCTTTGGTGGCAAGCACTGTGACGCACTGTTCTACCCGCGAGTGGTGAAGTAGTGAATGTCACACAGCCATGGGACGCATTTGCACGTTCACCTGTCTTATACACACTCTGATGTTCTTGAGAGAGAACAGCCTGCTTTTTGGTGGTTTTCCTGTCTCTGTATTGCATGGTTCTTGGCACACAGAAGGTACTCCATTAACTAAAGGTGGAATGCTTAACTTTACACTGCCTACTTCTGATTTTCTGGCAACGTTTTAACGGAGTAACAGTTTTGATCCTGGGACTAGGGATTAGTGCAAACTGTGACTCGTGGGCCCCTGTCATAAGCAGCTAGACTGTAGCTCAGACTTTAACATCCCTAAACCAGAGTGTTGCTCACAGGAGCACACTGCTTTTTGCTTTCCTGCAGTGTTGTAGGCAGCTGTGAGGTTTTTGTTTTGTTTTGTTTTTTTGGGGGGTGGATCCATTGTCACACTTGAGTGGAGTTTTTTGTCTCTGAACATTCCCTGCTAGCCAGACAACTGAAATGGCCAGTTATTAGGCGATCATTTTGTTGCCGTAGCTGTTCCTACTTTCAGTGAGTCAGATGGTATCTGACTTTATAGAGTAGGAAATGAAAGACAGGGATGAGGTAAGCAACTTCCTAACTTATTTTTAGCCAGTGAGCGCTAGGTCCATATTTGAACTCGAACATGGTCACCATGCTAGTAATGAGTGCTGCTAGAGACAGGTTTGAGTTCAGCGTTGTTCACACTCGTTGTTATCTACTGTGTGTGCAGGCTGGTGAGTTCAGTGTTGCCCACACCCATCGTTATTAATGTGTGTGCAGGCTGGTGAGTTCAGTGTTGTTCACTCTCATTATCTGATGTGTGTGCAGGCTGGTGAGTTCAATGTTGTGCACACTCGTTGTTATCTAATGTGTGTGTAGGCTGGTTTGTCAATTTGGGACAAGCTGCAGTCATCTGGGAAGAAAGCTCAGTCGGGAAAACTCTTGGGTAAGATTGACCTGTGGGCTGTGTCTGTGAGGCATTTTCTTCGTGAATGACAATGTGTGGGAACTCTTTGTGGGCAGTGCCTGCTGTGGGCAGTGGAGGGATTATCAGGATGTAACCTAAACAGGATTTTGAAATTTAATGATTTAGTCACAGTTTTTGCACAATGCTTTTTTGTTATGAACTTCTCATGAGGCTTCAGTTTCCTATGAGATACTCTAGCCTAGAGTGGCATAAAGTCACGTGGACCATATATTCATTTGTTCAAAAATATTTAATCAAAGTCCACTATGTTCAGAATTTGGGTTACAACAATGTATCTACTTGATGAAGGGCCCTATCCCATTAGAACTTAAATCCTGTTGGAAGAAGAAATTGCAATGTACACAGTAAGTTATTGGTTCCCAAGAAGCTGAGGAGTGCAATCTTGAAACTAAGTCAAGGTGAAGAATATGGCAGTGTGAGGCCATGGTTTTAAATGTTAACACAGACAGATCCCATGCAAAAGAGTAGAGCGTGACTTTGGTCATTCTCTTGCATTTGTTTAGTGCTTCCTGTTTTTAACAGGGACACACATGCACATGTCTGCCACCCTGTAAATGACACTAAAATGTGGGGTTGGTAGTGAATTTACTTTAGTGTGTGGAAGGGGTTAGTGAGCTTACTTACTTTATACACTAGAGATAAATCCTGGGGCCTCTGCGTGTTAGGCAAATGCTCTCCCATGAATCTGTGCCCTCAGCCAGGGTCAAGGATCTGAGTCCATGTGACTTGTTTAGTTAGTGCCTCAAGTAAGACTGCAGCTTTCATCTACAGACTTCTAGGTTAGGGCTTTTTTTGGTTTGTTTTTTTGAGACAGGGTTTCTCTGTGGCTTTGGAGGCTGTTCTGGAACTAGCTCTTGTAGACCAGGCTGGTCTCAAACCCCCAGAGATTCGTCTGCCTCTGCCTCCCAGGTGCTGGGAGTAAAGGCGTGCACCACCACTGCCCGGCTTTCTCAGCATCTTAAACTAGAGCTGTTTGCAGTGACAAAGTATCTTTTAGAAACTACCTTAATTAATAACATCAGTTAATCATCATTAGCTAGTTAATTTGTGTTTGTTTATTGGTGTGGGTGTGAATGTGCTGTGGGATCCCTGTGAGGTCAGAAGACAACATGTGGGTGCCAGTTCTCTCTACCATGTGAGTTCAGGGGTTGAACCTATGTCTTCAGACTTGGCGGCCCCTTCCTTTACCTGCTGAGCCATCATCTTAAAGTAGTTCCTAGTTTGTGTTTGTTTATTTTGTTCATAGGGTCAAATACAATATCTTCATAAACGGATCATGATTGCTGTTACAGTTAAAGTCCACAGTGGCTAAGAGCTCTGGAAGCTTTGCCAGAGGCCCCAGGTTCAATTTCCAGTCCCTACTTGGTGGTTCACACAATCACCAGTCCCAGGGGTCCAGTGCCTTCTGACCTTTGTGGACACTAGGCTTGCACTTAGTACACACACACACACACACACACACACACACACACACACACACACACACACCTAAAGAGTTTAATAAAAATGCCCATGAGTCCTAGATATCATTTATCACTCTATTCTGGGAAATTGTATGTTTTTAAATGTGTGTATGAGTGAATCATTCTGCCTTTATCTGGCCTACAGGACCAAGCAGAACAATTCTTTAGAAGCGGCCATACCAACAACTGGGCTGTTTTGGTAAGTAAGCTCTTGCAAGATACATCTTGCTGTGCATAGTAGATATGTATCTCAAAACTTTTGTGCATTATGAATTAAAATTTTGAAAATAAAATTTGTCTTTTAAAATAAAAATGTTGATAGGAAAAGAGAATCCTGCCCCCTCTCCCTCTGCCTTGGTCTCCCCTTCTCTGTCCTCGGCCACCCCACCTTGTCTCTCTCTGAGATGGGGTCTTACGTAGCCCACACTGGCTTCAATCTCACGTAAGCCTCAGGCTGGTCTTGAACTACTGGTGCCCTTGCCTCTACCACTGAGAGGAATTCTTAGATGAGGACTAGATAGCTGCCAGTGTGCAGACCCTTGCTTGGCACACAATTCCCTTTAGAATTTACAGCTGTTAGCTTAGGCTCCACACGCATCAGCGTCTCAGTGACTTGGGTTCCAGATGACAAGCAGGGTGAGAAAGAGAGTCTACTGCAGAGTGAGACCTCAATACATTGTACTTTCTTACATGGAAAGAAAGTACCAGATAAGGGCCCGGGGAGGTGGCGTACTTGGTAAAGTGGTCAGATTCCCAGGCTCACATAAGAGCTGAGTGAGCGAGGCGGGGTACTAGGGCTGACTGGAGATGAGTACATCCTTGAAACTCCCTGACCAGCCAGTTAGCCAACTCCGCTTTCAGTGAGAGACCCTATCTCAAAATGTAAGGTGGAGAATGATGGAATGTGACCCCTGAAATTGACAGTTGACTGGCATGTGACCTCTAACGGCCATATCCACCTACTCCACACCTTCTTCTCAGTGAGCCACACCCCCCCCAACAAGAAGAGCATCGGATTACTGCTGTTCCTCATATTTTCAGAATTCCATGTTTGTTTCCCAGTGTGAGTTAATTTGCTTTTAGTCCTGAGTAGAGGATGAGAAATCAGTGGAACTTCCCATTTGACAGAGGAGGAAAGTAGGATTCTGTTTTGGCTCTGACCTGTTTGATGTAAACAAACCAACAAGGAGGGCATTTTCTCCTCGTAGGAAGGGGAAGCAGTGTTGAAGGATATAAATGGAAGCTGTTCCTTCACCATTCCCCATAGTGTCTCTGTTTGGTTTCTTTGTGCCCTTTTAGGAATTCCCGGGAGGTGTGATCACAGTTGTATTTGACTTTCCCTTTTGAAAAACAAATGGTTTGTACACACACCTGTTAGAGTTAGGATGTCTTTATTCAGTTAAACACCAGCCAGACACAAGCCAGAGAGAGAGTGCCCTGAGGCAGCAGGCTAGGGAGCCCAGAAAGAGAGTGCTCCCACGTCTGTCTGTTGCCCCCTTAAAAACTCCCCATCCTGAACCTCCCCTGACCAGGCCCTCACAGGCATGGTCAAGCACACCTGTAGCAGGCTCCTAGGAGGTGGGGCTACACTGTCTCCCTACATACACCCTTACAGCATGTCCTGCTCTTGGTGAATATTTAGTAACTTGAATGAAGTTGGTGTTTCCCAACTCTTTTTCCTGTGAATGTTTTATATTCCCTGTTAATTTTCTATCCCCTGATAATTTGCTGTTGAAGGCGAGGGCTGTTTCTTATATTTACTAAATAAAGAGCTGACACAATGGACCTTTAGTTCTGTATAAAGCACAGTAGAAATCCTGGCCTTCATTGTGGTTCATTTCTTGCAAATTGTTTTACACATTTTTTTGCTGTTGTTGTTTAAAAACTTCACGTTAGGAAAACTTGTGGCTGTTTGCAGTAATTTGTAAGATTTTGTTTTCATTTTTTGCTGGATATGAATACAGCCTAAAATGTATGTAAATATGTACATTTCAGACACACTGAGTTCTATGTGTCTCAATATGGTCAGAAGTTTCAGTCTGTTCCTGGTATATCCTAGGATGGAAATTCATGCTAAGTTTTAAAGAAACCACAACGCTCTGTAGAAGCAAGAGCCTATGTACTGCCCTCAGACCTGTCACTTCTGCCTTGGCCACAGGCATGTGACAGGAGGCAGGGGTGTGTATGGGAGATGCAGTAACTGACCCTAATCTCTCCATGTATCTCCTTGGAACTAGATTTCCAAAACCTAGCTTTTGAGCTATAGTTGGATTGCCCCAGTAACTTAAAAAAGCATTTTCCTTTTTCTTTGTGTGTGTGTGTGTGTGTGTATCTGAGTATGGGCTTGTGTGTGAGTGCACTGCCCGTGGGGGCCAGAAGAGGGCGATAGCTCTTCTGAATCAAGAATTACAGGTGATTGTGAACTAACAGCTGAGCTGTCTCTCCGGACCCTCCCTAGTACCCGTCATGTTTTTAGTGATCTGTGAGTGAAAACTTTGGTTGACTTGTTTGTAGTTGCCAGTTCAGTAACTTTAAAACATAACTCTTCTCACATTGTGTATGAAGCTATTTTCTAAGTTGTGTTTTTGTCTATCTCACTTCCCACAACAAATGAAACAATTAAGAAACAGATATTCCATACTGGAGGGCAGCTAGTCTGTGAGGAGTTTGTAGACATTTTCTCTGATTCTAAAGAAACTGAATCTTTTAGAAATAGGGACATTACAGATGTACAGAAATGGAAATGAGCTGTGTTTGCTTGGTTAAATTCTCTGCAGATTGTTTTCTCTTCAGCTGGGTGATCTTTTTATTTAAATAAAAAGCCTCCCTTTAGAGACGTTGGTTTATTGAAGGTTCTTCATGTTCTTTGCTGCTTCCAAGCCCGAAATGCTTTCTTCAGCCATTTCTGTGTAGACCCTGTCACCCATGGTGTGACTCATAGCATCGTGTTTTTGTCTTAACTCTAGGTGTGCACATCGAGATTCTGGTTTAATTACCGACATGTGGCAAATACTCTTTCTGTCTATAGAAGCGTCAAGAGACTAGGTATTCCTGACAGGTAAGCCATCCCAACTAAGTTTAATGTGAAACCCAGTGAACACAACTCTTAGGTGAGTTGCTTTTGAAAGAGGTAAAGAAACCTGATTTCAGTTTTTGTTGTTTTCAGACATACCGTCAAGTGTAGAGTAGATGGTAACTTAGGACCATGGTGGCAAAGTACATATGAGAGCAATTACTAAGGTAATAGGATTTGATAAAGTGTGGTTACTTGGTATACTTTACTTAGGTTTTTTATAGGTTACTGTTTTAACCTGAAATCAGAAAAAGATTAATTGAAAGCATATTGATTTTTGTTTGTTTGTTTGTTTTTTAGAGACAGGGTTTCTCTATGTAGCATAGGCTATCCTGTAACTGGCTCTGGAGACCAAGCAGACCTCGAACTCACAGAGATCTGCCTGCCTCTGCCTCCTGAGTGCTGGGACTAAAGGTGTGCACCACTGCCCAGCAAAAGCTTATTGATTTATTCACCAGGCTCTTGGGAGGGCTATAGCCTTAGGTAACCAGGAACAAGAAAAACCAGATAGCAGAAAAGGAAACTAAAACCTATGACAGGAAACTAGTCTGGTCACAGATGCCATGCTGCAAACTGCTGAAACTGGGCTCTGTTGTACTGCACCGTGGTGGGTATGTCTGTGGGTACTTCACATTGGGACTGCCTCCTGATGCCAAGACCCAACCTGGTACTCCCAGTTTCATACTGTTTCTTCTAGTGCCTATTGGGAATGCCATGCTGGTAGTAGAGCTTAGATTCTCTGTCTATGTGTGTGTGCAAAGTGTCTAGACAGAGGGGTGTGAGGCATTGTGTTTTCTGTGTGGAAAGATGGGCTGCCTTTGCCAAATATCCCCAAAGTGGGACATTTTCTACTTGTAGGGAGTCAGGTGCCTTTACCCAGACCATGGACTTTGGTTTATTATGGTGAGTTTGGTTTTGCTGCTACCAGAAGAGTGACCACAGAAGATATTGTTGTCTCATTTTAAGGTTGATTTATTGAGTGCCCTTGAGAGATGGAAGTGTGCAATGAGCTTTGTAGGAGACAGGAGTTTGAAACTAATTTTGGTGGTAACTTCACTAGACTAAGCATGGTTTTCCTCATTTAAGACACAGTGCTAATATAATGGAACCACTTTGGGATTCAAACAAAAGAGATAAAGTCAAGGGTTGCAGAGGCAGAATGGACACAGTGCATGGCTTGGGAGACAAAGCGGTTATGTTCTATGCAGACATCCTTTCATTCTGTGAAACCACAAAACACAACTCGGCACCTGTATTCCATTTAGGAATCAAAATGACTGGATGATATTACTGTTTTTAAGTTAAATTAAGTCTGAGAGGAATGTTAACTTGTGTAAAGTATGTAGATGTAATTCTTTCTGCCAGTGGATCCTTCTCAGGTAGTCCTTTGGTTTACAGCTTTTCTCTCTCTGTCCTGAGACTCGCTGTGCGTGGTTTCCCTCTCTGTCCTGAGACTCACTGAGCATGGTTTCCCTCTGTCCTGAGACTCACTGTGCGTGGTTTCCCTCTGTCCTGAGACTCACTGTGTGTGGTTTCCCTCTCTGCCCTGAGACTCACTGTGCGTGGTTTCATAGTAGCTTTTACTTTGGAAAATACATTATCATGCTGTCATGAGTCATTCATTAAGACATGTTACGATGGTTTGAGAAAGATTTGGAGGGTCCTTGTAGAAGTAGAAGATAGAAATAGCATGTATTAATTTGTATACTGAGTTTGGTAAGTTTGTCCTTGAGTTTCTGGAAGATTTCTTTTGAAGTTATTTCTGTTTCAGATGCTTGTTTGTAGCTCTATTTATGCAGGGTTTGTTCTAGAAAAAAATTGGGAGATGGAGGCGATCATACTGTTTATTTGTTTAACAAAGAGAATTTAAGAAAAAAAGATGGTTTTGTCTCTAGCTTAGTATGGTAAATGTTCCTTTATAGTTACACCGCATTTAAGTTAGAAGTCTTTTTTTTTTTTTTTTAAACACTTTACTTTTTTTTGTAATTTTTAAGGTATCACTGTTCTTTTCACATGCATGCCTAAATGCCAGAAGAGGGGATCAGATCTCATTACAGATGGTTGTGAGCCACCATGTGGTTGCTGGGAAATCACTGTTCTGTCTGCATGCATGCCTAAATGCCAGAAGAGGGTATCAGATCTCATTACAGATGGTTGTGAGCCACCATGTGGTTGCTGGGAATTGAATTCAGGATCTCTGGATGAGCAGCCAGTGCTCTTAACTCTTAACTCTTTTAATATACGTTATCTCAGTGTATCATACAGTATTTGTCAGAGATTGGTATAATTATGCATATGATTTAATCCTAATTAAATCCTAAAAGGTATATCTGTGTACTGAAGACAGTAACGGGGTGGTCATGGAAACAGTTTGAAGAATAACCGTAAGGAGCACCTTTCTGATTTCTCATTTTCTCCTTCCTAAACAAAGCCTTTGCTGCTGCTGTCTTGTTTGTTTCTCTTCCCCGCCTATCCCTTCCTCTGCACTGTGGGAGCAGGCTCTGCAGTGTGGGAGCGGGCTCTGCGGTGCGGGAGCGGGCTGTGCGGTGTGGGGGCGTGCTGTGCGGTGCGGGAGCGGGCTCTGCAGTGTGGGAGCGGGCTGTGCGGTGGGGAGCGGGCTGGGCGGGGGGGAGGGGGCTTCGGGGGGGGGGAGCGGGCTGTGCAGTGTCTGAGCGGGCTCTGCAGTGTGGGAGCGGGCTCTGCAGTGTGGGAGCGGGCTCTGCAGTGTGGGAGCGGGCTCTGCAGTGTGGGAGCGGGCTCTGCAGTGTGGGAGCGGGCTCTGCAGTGTGGGAGCGGGCTCTGCAGTGTGGGAGCGGGCTCTGCAGTGTGGGAGCGGGCTCTGCAGTGTGGGAGCGGGCTCTGCAGTGTGGGAGCGGGCTCTGCAGTGTGGGAGCGGGCTCTGCAGTGTGGGAGCGGGCTCTGCAGTGTGGGAGCGGGCTCTGCAGTGTGGGAGCGGGCTCTGCAGTGTGGGAGCGGGCTCTGCAGTGTGGGAGCGGGCTCTGCAGTGTGGGAGCGGGCTCTGCAGTGTGGGAGCGGGCTCTGCAGTGTGGGAGCGGGCTCTGCAGTGTGGGAGCGGGCTCTGCAGTGTGGGAGCGGGCTCTGCAGTGTGGGAGCGGGCTCTGCAGTGTGGGAGCGGGCTCTGCAGTGTGGGAGCGGGCTCTGCAGTGTGGGAGCGGGCTCTGCAGTGTGGGAGCGGGCTCTGCAGTGTGGGAGCGGGCTCTGCAGTGTGGGAGCGGGCTCTGCAGTGTGGGAGCGGGCTCTGCAGTGTGGGAGCGGGCTCTGCAGTGTGGGAGCGGGCTCTGCAGTGTGGGAGCGGGCTCTGCAGTGTGGGAGCGGGCTCTGCAGTGTGGGAGCGGGCTCTGCAGTGTGGGAGCGGGCTCTGCAGTGTGGGAGCGGGCTCTGCAGTGTGGGAGCGGGCTCTGCAGTGTGGGAGCGGGCTCTGCAGTGTGGGAGCGGGCTCTGCAGTGTGGGAGCGGGCTCTGCAGTGTGGGAGCGGGCTCTGCAGTGTGGGAGCGGGCTCTGCAGTGTGGGAGCGGGCTCTGCAGTGTGGGAGCGGGCTCTGCAGTGTGGGAGCGGGCTCTGCAGTGTGGGAGCGGGCTCTGCAGTGTGGGAGCGGGCTCTGCAGTGTGGGAGCGGGCTCTGCAGTGTGGGAGCGGGCTCTGCAGTGTGGGAGCGGGCTCTGCAGTGTGGGAGCGGGCTCTGCAGTGTGGGAGCGGGCTCTGCAGTGTGGGAGCGGGCTCTGCAGTGTGGGAGCGGGCTCTGCAGTGTGGGAGCGGGCTCTGCAGTGTGGGAGCGGGCTCTGCAGTGTGGGAGCGGGCTCTGCAGTGTGGGAGCGGGCTCTGCAGTGTGGGAGCGGGCTCTGCAGTGTGGGAGCGGGCTCTGCAGTGTGGGAGCGGGCTCTGCAGTGTGGGAGCGGGCTCTGCAGTGTGGGAGCGGGCTCTGCAGTGTGGGAGCGGGCTCTGCAGTGTGGGAGCGGGCTCTGCAGTGTGGGAGCGGGCTCTGCAGTGTGGGAGCGGGCTCTGCAGTGTGGGAGCGGGCTCTGCAGTGTGGGAGCGGGCTCTGCAGTGTGGGAGCGGGCTCTGCAGTGTGGGAGCGGGCTCTGCAGTGTGGGAGCGGGCTCTGCAGTGTGGGAGCGGGCTCTGCAGTGTGGGAGCGGGCTCTGCAGTGTGGGAGCGGGCTCTGCAGTGTGGGAGCGGGCTCTGCAGTGTGGGAGCGGGCTCTGCAGTGTGGGAGCGGGCTCTGCAGTGTGGGAGCGGGCTCTGCAGTGTGGGAGCGGGCTCTGCAGTGTGGGAGCGGGCTCTGCAGTGTGGGAGCGGGCTCTGCAGTGTGGGAGCGGGCTCTGCAGTGTGGGAGCGGGCTCTGCAGTGTGGGAGCGGGCTCTGCAGTGTGGGAGCGGGCTCTGCAGTGTGGGAGCGGGCTCTGCAGTGTGGGAGCGGGCTCTGCAGTGTGGGAGCGGGCTCTGCAGTGTGGGAGCGGGCTCTGCAGTGTGGGAGCGGGCTCTGCAGTGTGGGAGCGGGCTCTGCAGTGTGGGAGCGGGCTCTGCAGTGTGGGAGCGGGCTCTGCAGTGTGGGAGCGGGCTCTGCAGTGTGGGAGCGGGCTCTGCAGTGTGGGAGCGGGCTCTGCAGTGTGGGAGCGGGCTCTGCAGTGTGGGAGCGGGCTCTGCAGTGTGGGAGCGGGCTCTGCAGTGTGGGAGCGGGCTCTGCAGTGTGGGAGCGGGCTCTGCAGTGTGGGAGCGGGCTCTGCAGTGTGGGAGCGGGCTCTGCAGTGTGGGAGCGGGCTCTGCAGTGTGGGAGCGGGCTCTGCAGTGTGGGAGCGGGCTCTGCAGTGTGGGAGCGGGCTCTGCGGTGGGGAGCGGGCTGTGCGGTGTCTGAGCGGGCTGTGCGGTGCGGGAGCGTGGGAGCGGGCTGTGCAGATGCAGCACCTGTGGTTCTCTGACCCCCAAACCTGCAGGGGACACTGTCACATGATCGCAGAGGAAGCGTGTG